CCTGCGGTGACCGGGAGCGGCCACTGCACTCCAGTCTGGGCGACAGAGTGAGACTCCAACTCAAAAAAAAAAAAAAAAAAGTCTCACTTCTGCTGCACTCCAAGTTTCTGTGTCTATGCTTTGATTTTGGCCAGGTGAGTTTGTTTCTCACAATTTGGGGCTTGTCCGAGATACTCTGAGTCTGCGGGAGGAGGACCTCAGCAGAGGGGGAGACACGTCCCACTGACTTTGGGCGGCCTACTCTGCTTGGGCATCTCAGCTGCTCACGGGACTGCAGATAAGGCCAAGACTATGGTTCCGGAGGCAGCAGAAGCAATGCAGCAAAAAAAGAAAAAAGAAAACTGGCACCGCGACAACCAGGCAAACTTGTACATGAGCCAAGAGAGGAAAAATTGGACTCTAAGACCTGCCTTGGTGGTTGGGCATTATTGGAGGCCGAGTGTGTGTCTGACTGAAACGTATCACAGATATTGAAACGTATCACAGATATAAGCAAGTCCCTATCCGTGGTTCCATCCTCCCACGAGGGAAGTGGCCGGAGTAGGATGAAGCAAATCTCGGGGTGCACAAGAAACCTCCAGTAGGGGGGGGTTCAGGGCATAGGTAAACTCAGGTACAGGCATCAACCAGGGGATAAGAGAAACTCCTAGTAAGTTGAGTTTTCAAGTTAGCCAAAAATAGGGAATACAAATTCTAGGCCTAGGGAACCCAAGAAAGGGTTGCCTAGGCCTAGAATTCTCCAACATTACCCTGGAGAGTCCACTGGGGAAATGTTGAGGTCTTGGGGGATAGCCTTTGTACCAAGAAAAAGGGGAATGATCAGGAGGGCTGCAATGTCCACATGGAAACGGGAACACCTTCCAGGGCTGGGCATTCAGCCAGCCGAGCAAAAGTACCCAAATGTAGATCCTGGGTGGGACAATAATGATCAAGAGGATACAACAAAAATGCAGAATCTGAGGGGATTGATAATTATGAGAACCCGAGAATCAGCCCCGAGGTCTCAGGATGTCTAAGCTCAACAAGAAAAGGAAAAACCTTCAACTGCCCATCAGACCTGGTAAGAATGAACCTGAGAACACTCCAGGTGAATATTAGGGTGCTGGAACCCAAATTAATTTCTTAATTAACACAGGTGTCAGCTATTTGGTCCTAGCCATCCATGTTGGAATTATAAATTTCAGAGTCCAAATAGTTAACCACAACTACAGGGTTAAATCGAGGCTTCTAAACTCTATGTCTCTCTTTTCTGCTTGCTTTGAGTCTTCTAGCAAGCAAGCCTCTGGCATTGAGATAAGCTCAATGTTTCTAGGTTAAAGAAAACAATTTTTGTTTCTCTATACAGTTCAGCCAGTTCTAACTAAAATGTAAACATTGAAAACTTATTTAAAATTGAAGAAAAAAGGCTAGGCGTGGTGGCTCATGCCTACAATCCCAGCACTTTGGGAGGCTGAGGTGAGAGTATTACCTGAGCCAGTTCAAGACCTGCCTGGGCAACTTGGCAAGACCTCATTTCTACAATAAATAAAATAAAATAAAATAAAAATAGTTGGACTTGGTGACATGCGCCTGTAGTTCCAGCTACTTGGAAGGCTGAAGTCGAAGGATTACCTGAGCCTAGCAGGTTGAGGCTGTGGTGGCCAAGAGAGTGCCACTGCACCCCAGCCTGAGCAACAGAGACTCTAACTCAAAAAAGAAAACTGAAGAAAAAAAGGTTAAAAACATTTTTTAAAATTAAACTTCCATGGAGACTGCTTTATCCCAATTTTTGTCCACAGCCTTTATTGGACTGCCTACTGGGACAACAAAGTTTAGCCATGCAAACAGGTTCTAATTTTGTTGGAAATATAGTTTGAATTTGGGTGTCTTTTGTAAAATGGTAAGTTTGTTGCTATCTCATGACTGAAGTTTGGAGGTAAAGGTTGTTAAATCTTTGTGTGTATATATATATATATATATATTTGCATGTATTTGCATGTATGTGCATGTTATGTGTTTTGTCCAGGTTGCTGACAAATGGGCTTCTAAGTAAATGAGTATTCATTAAGTAAATAAATAAATATAAATGTTTTCCAACTTCATGTGACTTTAAGGATCTTTGGTAAATAAAAATAGGTTTAGTGGTTTCTCTCACCCATGCCAGCTCTGGCATGTCTATCTCTCCTCTCTTCCTTCTCTAATAAACTTTGTTTGAAAACTTAAAAATAAAATAAAAATGTGTTTAAAATTTTTAATAAAATGAAAAGCGTCTTTGGAATTGTCAGCATACATTTTTATCTGGGTGTACTAATTAAGTAAGTTTTGCATTTGCCTCCGCTAGATATTTTAAGTATCAACATTTGATATGAAAGCTATAAAACTATAAACCTAGCTAAAACCAGAGTGATCTTTATTTATATAAATGTTTTTATTACCAATATAACTAATTTTAAATTGTTGTTTCCAAAAAAAGAAAAAAAGTTAGACCTTCTGAATTATCAATAAAATGTTCATGTATTTAACTTTAAGGTTCTTACTTAGGTAACATCTGATGTTCACAGGCTTTAAAAATGAATAGCTGGGAGATAACTTAAAATATTAACTGGCCCCGGCTAAGATCTCAATTTGCATAAGTAATTAAGCAAACTGCTATAAATAAATAAATTAGGTAATTATGAATAAAATAATGCTTATTGATAAGCTCTTCATGTAATTTGAAAATCTTAAAATTGTTTTAGAAGCTCATTAAATGGGGTTATTTGCAATTAAGAAAAAGTTAGAGGCCACGCAAGCTGACTCACGCCTGTAATCCCAACACTGAGGTGAGAGGATTGCCTGAGCCCACAGGTTTGAGACCAGCCTGGGCAACTTGGGGAGACCTCGTCTCTACAATAAATCAAAACATTAGCTGGGTGTGGTGGTACACACCTGTAGTTCCAGCTATTTGGATGGCTGAGGTGGAAGGATCACCTGTGCCTAGCAGGTCAAGGATGCCATGGCCATGAGTGTGCCCCTGCACTCCAACCTGGGTGACAGAGTGAGACTCCAACTCAAAAAAAAAAAAGAGGAAAAAGGTATAATATGGAAAAATGTTTTTAACATTATGTAAAAGGTCTCATCTATAAAATACTAATATCTAACAAACAGTTCAGAATTTCTTGTTTCCTAGGTTTTCACTAAAATTGTTGGTTATTTTATGTAATCTGGAGATTATTTATTTATTTTTGAATTGAAGTCTCACTCTGTTGCCCAGGCTGGAGGGGAGTGACATGTTCACGGCTACCACAGCCTCGACCTGCTGGGCTCAGGTGATTCTTCCGCCTCAGGCTTCCAAGTAGCTGGAACTCTAGGCATGCGCCATCATGCCCGACTAATTTTTCTTGATTTATTGTAGAGATGGGGTCTCGCCAAGTTGTCCGGGCTGGTCTCGAACCCATGGGCTCAGGCAATCCTCTCACCTTGGTTTCCCAAAGTGCTTGGATTACAGGCTGACCACCGTGTCCTGCCTGGAGATTATTTAAAAGGTTTCTTATTTTTTTAAAAGAGGGGGAAAAAGCTGGTCATGCCGGAAGTCTCTGCACTTTGGGAGGCGGAGGCAAGAGGATTGCTTGAGCTCAGGGGTTCAAGACCAGCCTGAGCAATATGATGAGACCTCTTCTCTACAATAAATATATTTTAAAAAGTTAACCAGTCATGGCCATTCATGCCTGTGGTTCTAGCCATTTGAAAGGTTGAGACAGAAGGAGCGCCTAAGCCCAGGGAGTCAAGACTGTAGTGGCCGTGAGAATGCCAGTGCATTCCAGCCTGGGAGACAAAGGGAGAGTCTAACTCAAAAAAAAAAAAAAAAAAAAATGAAAAAAAAAAATCAGTAACTAGGAGAGAGAAAGAGATGTAAAAAGAGTTATGGATATGAAGGTGTATTTTTGGTAAGGAAAGTTATAAGGGAAAAATAATAATTTTGTATATAAAAGATTTTGTATGATAAAATTGTGTCCTAAAGTAAAATAACTTGTTATGTAGGAAAGAGAGAAATACAGGGCAAAACAGAGAGTCCAAGCATGTCTTCAATGGTATGTGGAAGTCAGGATAAGGTTCATGAAGGGGAATTTATGAAGAAATCTTGACATATGATTAAGTTGGTTGTAACTTTTTCTTCAGTCCTAACTGCTATTATGGCTTCAAAGGTTTTTAAAGACTCAGGAAACTAAGCTTTAAAAGGATTGAAAATTTTTTTTCATATCATCATTTTATATAAAGAAAGATCTTAGCCAGGTGCAGTGGCTCAAGCCTGTAATCCCAACACTTTGGGAGGCTGAGGCAAGAGGATTGCCTGAGACCAGCCTGGGCAACTTGGCGAGACCTTGTCTCTACAATAAATCAAGAAAAATTGCCCGAGTGTGGTGGTGTGCACCTGTAGTTACAGTTGCTTGGAAGCCTGAGGCAGAAGGATCACTGAGCCCAGTAGGTCGAGGCTGCAGTGGTCATGAGTGTGCCACTGCACTCCAGCCTGGGTGACAGAGTGAGACTCCAACTCAAAAAAAGAAAGAAAACAAAAAAGGTGTTAGGAGATTCAATTTTCAGGCTGTTGTAAGATTAGCCCTTGAGGCTACGCTCAGTGGCTCCTGCCTATAAACCTAGCTCCTTAGAAGGCTGAGGTGGAAGGATAGCTTGAGCCTAGCAGGTTGAGGCTGTGGTGGCTGTGAGCAGCGTGCCATTCTGGGCAACAGAGTGAGACTCCAACTCAAAATAAATATAAATAAAAATTTAAAAAGGCCGGGCTCGGTGGCTCAGCCTGTAATCCCGCGCCTTTGGGAGGCTGAGGTAAGTGG